CCAGTTACTTTGGTCTGGAAATGAGTAGATTTGTCTGAGGACTTGAGTGTACATCTTTAGTCACCAAAGAACGACTTACTGGGGAGTGATAATGCAAGCTCTTGCACTCTGCTCCACCAGTATGCCCCAGCCTTAATCTGGAAGGCCCGCAACTAGGAGTTGACATGGTTTTCTTTCCTGAACATTCATGGCCGATTTGCAGAGAATGCTAATAAGGGTGTCATTGCTATCAATTGTGGTAGAGGTTTTGTTGATGCAGCTGCCTTTTCATGAACTCAACATAGATATCACTGGATAGCCATTGGGTAGTAACAATTTCCAGTCACAACAGCACTGCACTGGATTTTAACTGGTGACTCTGAGGTGAAATGGTATAGCTATTCCATTATCAATTCTTTGATTCTCTGAGTGACTCAGTCCTTCCTATCAAGAGAATCCAAAAAAGGTTCAGAGAAATGTGACTTCCTCTAGACATGGGAGTATTCTAAGGCCAATGAACAAAGACTGTATTTTGTGGCCAGTACCCTTCCCCCACACCTTATGGTTGAGGTTGCTATGTTTATTGACAGCTTTCCTAGAGATATTATGTCTAGGAATTACACTGCAGTACTGGAAATCCTGATTGGCTTGAGCTGTGACTTTCCCAATGGTCCTATAGATCTCGAGCATTGGCAGATAGTGAGAATGTGGTCTGTGTTCCATTTTCATAGATATCCTAATCTTGTACTGTCCTATGACACAGAATTCATTGGTTGCTAAAGGATCCAGACAAATTTCAAATTTGCAGCAAAGGAGATTTAGGTTCGATATTAGGAAAAACTTTCTAACTATAAGAGTAGTTAAACTCTGCAGTATGCTTCCCAGGGAGACTGTGGAATCCCCATCATTGGAGGCTTTTAAGAAAAGGTTGGACTTGTCAGGGTTTACTTGGCCCTATCTCAGTGCAGGGGTCTGGACTGGATGACTACTTGAGGTCCCTTCCAGCCTACATTTCTATGAGTCTATGAAAAAGAGGAGCATTTTCCTCAAAATGATGATTAGGTTGCATCTACAGATAGAATTTTGTTTTCACCTGGAAAGTCCATTTTTAGAGTTTACATTGTCCTTGGACTTTGGCCTGCATTACAGCGTGTCTCCATTCTATGAATCTTGATATGAGAGAGAGGAGTTTTACTTGTACTAAACTGGTCATCCCAATAAGTGTATGATTTTTAAGAGTAAGTACAAACACTTAGAGTAGTATCTTCTCCCAGTTAACCTGTATTCTGTGTTGCTTGTGTATGTAGTTTACATTACAAAAAAGTATGACTCATTTTTCCACTGAAAAATTCTGCTCACTTTGAGTGAAATAATCTGAATTCTTCTCATGCTGTCAGATGGTGCTTAGAGCATAAACAAAGCACCACCATCCATCTATCCTGCACCATGTCCTCTATGATATTAAGTCCTGTAAGTTTTCCCTTTCTGGCTAGCGTTTAATGAAGAGATTTTTTTCAGCTGGCCCCTTTGTCATGTTCTTACAGCTGCCCAGTGGCATGCCTGCCATGCTAGGTGCTCTGGCTTCATGCTTAACGCATGTCCCAGATAGTTCCAGCTTTTTTTTTTTTCTGGAAAACTTTCATGATAAAGGGTTGGGGCATTCTTTTTATTTGTTATAAATTAATTTAGTATAATACCTAGTATTTTTCAAAGGCCTTTCCTTTCAAAGGCGGTCAGACATCTGTCTGGACCTTTGGTGGGCTTCTGGATTTCATGTCTGTATGTTAAGTTGGAAATAACAGTTGAGTTGAAGATTCATAGTTTGGTCTTTAAAGCTTAAGTGCCTTTAACACTACTTAAGATCTTCAAATAAGGCTCTAGTTGGGCCTGAGTGCTGCATAACCCTCTGCACAACCCTCTGCACAGGGGTAATTTAACCCTTTTTGTCCAGTGCACAAATATCTCTCAAAAATATGCAGTCCTGTATAATCAAGGAAAGCAGAGCTATCTTGATCGAGCCCAAATACACCCCTTACTCAAATCATTTCTTGTATAGAAAGATACACAAAACATTTTTATATATAAAAATACTTATTAGATAAAATAATTTGAAGCCGTGAAATAATTGGCATGTATTCAAATTGTGGTTAATTGAATTCATCTATCACTTAGAGAGCCACATGGGGTACTGACTCTGCATAGAGGAAGTAATTTTCATTAACAGGATATAATTTAGAATAAAAAAATATATACACGCTGCTTGAAACTCTGTTAATAATTAACATGGAATAAATACCTAGACATATATTGAGTTTCCATTTTTCTACCTGTCACTCTTTAGAGATTCATCAGCTCATTTGCATCCTAAGTAAATGAATTTATTCAGAGAGATGACACTGTAACACTGCCTTGGAAAGTGGAAGACCTTTATGTCAGAGCACCAAAAATTAGTCACCTTTGTTACTATAATGGCAGAGTGAGATCAACATTAATGGTAATTTGTTCACATGCTTGCTTACATCTGTCAAGGAAGTTTGTTTGTTTGCGAACACAAATCCTACAACTAAAAGCTGTTAGCCAAATCTGTCCTCCTTCAGTCCATTATTCCTCAAGCAGATCAACAGCATCAAGTTAGAATAAGGAAAAAAGAGAACAAAAAATCCTTTTAGTACAATTATTTATTTGTTTTGTTTTGGAATTTACATATAATAATGGTTATTCACAATCCCTTTACACAGTAATGTCAACAACATGTGTGGTTCTTTGCATGCAGCAAGATATGCAGGGAGTTATGTGAATGTTAAATAACAATATCTTTGCATGTGACCCTGAAGCGCTGCATCATCAAAACCAGTATAGTATAGTTGATTGAGTATGGGATTAGGAGTTAGCTGTTTCTGAGTTCTAATCCAATTTCTATCGATAAGTCATTGTATGGCCAAAGAGAAGTTGCTTTGGACCTGATTTTGAGAAGCACTGACGACCCACAACTCCTACTGTGATTGCTTAGCAGCTCTGCCAGTCAGGTCCCTAATTTCTGTCACATTTCAGGGTGCAATCCATCCCAGTGAGGGTGGTCAGCACCTGCCCTGAAACCAGGGCTGCTTCACAATGCTTTGCTGTTGTAGCTCCCAACCTGGGCCTCTCACAAACAGGATGCAGGTCACACATGACTGAGTGTGTGTGTGTGTGGCCAAAGCCCTGGTCCAGTAGTTCTGACCCAGCAGTCTGTCAGCAACACTCCAGTCACACTCTGGCTTCCACCAGCCTTGGTTGCTACTTACAGGGTGACCCAATGCACTCTCTGTTCTCTAATTTCCCCCAAACATGTATTCTGCACTGTACAATCCTCTCCAGGGTAGTTCAGATATGAGAGGTCTGTTGTCCCTGTAAACAGTCAACATTCAACAGTTTGCTACTTTAACTGGAGTTACCCTAACAGTTCGGTTTAACTACAACACGAGATTAGTTTTGATTAAAAAAATGTATTGAACTACAAAGAAATTTTAAGGATGTGCAAGTCTAAGGTATTAAAGTCAGAAGTGATTACAAGAGAAATAAGGATAAAACGCTTTCTAGTAGCTAAAACTTTAAAAAGTTAGATTTGGCTCAAGGTAAAAAATCCTTACCACATGTTCCCACCAACATTGACCCAAACTCTCAGATCAGAATCCCCATGCAAAGTCAAAGGGCTGCTTCCTTTGTGTTCTTAGGTGAAAGGGAGGGAGTGATAGCTTGGGGTGGTTTTGCCCCTCAGTTTTATAGTCTAGTCACCCTTTGAAAGGCATTTTCTGAGGGTTACCCTAGATAAAGTTCATTCCAGCTGTGAGGATGGAGACATGGAGTCTTGTGGCAAAACAGGTTCCATGTTATTGATTGCTAAAATGCAGATCTCTCTGTTCCTGCCCCTCTTCCTTGCCAAAGAATGGCCACTTGGCAGGTGAAGCTAATCAACTTTGACACCTGGAAGGAGGCGTAAGCTTTTCCTTTGTCTTTGAGAAACTGGTTTACTCAATCCCCAGACTTGTCTGGTAAACGCATTGTAGTCATAATTTCAGTTTATGTTCAGAACTGTTAATATGCATTTTGTACATACTTTACAGAAGAATATTAATCAGTGTTACCAGTTTTTAAATGATGCTTCCCGAGGCATATTTTGCATAAAGATTATTGTAATAATGTGTAGGGTGTGAATACTTGATTAAGAAGCACTGAAGACCCACAACTCTTATTGTAGCTGCTCAGCAGCTCTGCCAATCAGATCCTTCATTTGTTTCCTTAGCTGCAAAATGCGACTATGGCACCAATTCAGGAAAACATTTAAGCAGGTGTTTAAGTCCATCTCTGTTCAGGACAACACTTGAGCACGTGCAAAATCCCATTGACTTAAATATATGCTTAAATCCTACTTATGTGTTGTCCTTGAATAGGTATGCTTTCCAGAATCAGGTCCCAAAATACCAACCTCCCAAGGGGGTTCAGAGGATTAATCAGTGTTTCTATCATGCTTTGAAAATTAAAACTGACTTCTAAGTAGTAGTATTGCTTGGATATACATTGAAGTTCTCAGTAGTTACTCAATGGGAGTTTTGTCTGAATTTGAGTATGGAATTCAGGATTTGTACCCAAATGAACACTGCTAGAGGCCCAATTATTTGTAGCCCTTCAGCCTCTTCATGATGATTTAGCAGCATAAAGGGGCTTCCATAAAGCATGCAAATCTTACCACCAACCATCCACAACCTCCATCTGGCAACCCCCAGTACATGTTGGCGGCATGGCTGGGGGAAAGGAGACATAATTGGAGTGCCACTACACTCCAGCTACTCTTGAATGTTTTTAACAGCTGAGTGAAGTTGAAGCAACCTCAGAGTATGGAGAAGTGATAATAAAATGTCAGCCCACAAGGATAGTTTTTTATTCTACTCTATTGTTCCGGTTGTTATACTATCTTATTGAGTATATTTATCATTTCTGAATTGTAACATTATATTTTATGTTCTCCTCTCTCATTAATGCAGGTTGTGACAATATTAGCAAACATGTCTGTGCTGGACCAGTGTGCTTCAGAAATAATTCAAGGAAATGGTATGTATTTAAGCTGAGTTAATGCTGTATTTGTATGTATAGAATGCACATGAGAAAAGGAGAGAGCTTGAGAGGTGACCTGTTTTAATCACAGGGCAACATGATCTACGGATGCGATCCAATGCAAATGAAGCCTGTTGTTTGCTATAATTCTTAGTGGAATCTGCATCTGCTGGCCAATACAGGTTGATGAGGGATACAAAGTGAGGTCTCGGAATGGCCTTGTAATTGAAATATGCTGCCGTTCTACAACATGATTTAGAAGACTTCAAATATATAGCCATCCTGCTGATTTAATATTTATAGTTCACGTCATTACCCACAGCTGTATATTGAGGCAATCTGAAGCATTCTGATAGTAACATTTGTTTCTGTAAATTAAGATTTAAGATGTTTGAGAAGACCTGTGATTCTCATAAATCAGATTACATCATCTATGTATTAAACTTTGCACATTAGCATCCTGCATTTTGCATTGTTTCATTCAAACTGTACAATGCCATAACAAGACACTACTGCTCCAAAATGTACAAGCAGCAGCAACAGCAGCAATGCTTTCCCATAGCCCTTTAACGATTATTTTTGGCAAAACTTCATTATTTAGGAAATGTACATTTTAGATTTGATTCTGACCAACAGGGAGGATTTGGTTGCAGATCTGAAGGTGGAAGGCAGTTTGGGTGAAAGTCGTCATGAAATGATAGGTTTCATTATTCTAAGGAAAGCGCAGCAGAATCAGGACAATGGATTTCAAAAATAAAAGCAGACTAACAAACTCAGAGAACTGGTAGGTAAGGTCCCATGGGAAGAAAATGTAACCTATAGTGGTAGGTATACTTAGTGCGGAAGGAAAGTTACTAAGTGATATCAAAAAGATTGGGGTGTTTAATGCCTGTTTTGCTTCAGTCTCCACTAAAAAGGTTAATTGTTACTAGATACTCCAGTGCAATTAATGTTAAGAAAAATGGGGAAGGAACGTAAGTCAAAATGAGGCAAGAACGGGTTAAAGGCTATTTGTATTTGGATGCATTCAAGTCAGCAGGCCCTGATGAAATGAAGTAGTCAGAATACTTAAAGAACTAGCTGAAGCAGTCTCAGGATTATTAGCATTTTTTTTTGAGACGTCATGGAGGATGGGTGAGCTCCCAGAGGACTGGAGAAAGGCAAAAATAGGGCCTGCCTTTAAAAAGAGGAACAAAGAGGACCCAAGGAATTAGACCAGTCTGCCTAACTTTAATATTTGGAAAGATACTGGAACAACTTATTAAACAATCAAGTTGTGTGCACCTAGAGGATTATAACGTTATAAGGAATAACCAGCTTAGCTTTGTCAAGGACAAATCATTCCACACCAACTTAATTTCCTTCTATTGCAGATTTACTGGCCTAGAGATAGGTTGGAAGCAGTAGACTTGATATCTTTGGATTTTTAGTAAGACTTTTGACTGTCCCACATGACATTCTCTCATAAGCAAACTAAGGAAATGTGGTCTAATTACTGTAAGATGGATGCACAACTGGTGGAAAGACCACTCAAAAGTAGTTAATGGTTTGCTGTCAAACTGGGAGGGATATCTAATGGGGTGCAACAGGGGTCATTCTTGGGTCCAGTACTAGTCAATATTTTCATTAATGACTTGGATAATGGAATGGAGAATATGCTTATAAAATTTGTAGATGACACCAAGAAGCTGGGAGTGGTTGCAAATACGTTGGAAGACAGGATTAGAATTCAAAACAACCTTGAGAATTGGTCTGAATTTAACAAGAAGAAATTCAATAAAGTGCTTCCGTTAAGAAGGAAAAATCAAATGCCCAATTACAAAATGGGGGAATAGGCTAGGCAGTACTACTGTTGAAAAGGATCTGGGGTTGTTAGTGGAGCACAAATTGAATGAGTCAAAAACATGTTGCAGTTGCAAAAAAGGCTAATATTCTTAATATCATGATGATATAATATCATATCAGTGTCATATTTAAGACACAGAAGATAATTGTTCTGCTAAGGAGTACTGTGTCCAGTTCTGGGAATCACACTTTAGGAAAGATGTGAACAAAAGGACAGTGGACAGAGTCCAGAGGAGAGCAACACACATGATAAATGGTTTAGAAAACTTGACAGATGAGGAAAGGTTAAAAAACCCCAAGGTATTATAGGAGAATGTAAGGGCAAGAGAACAGTCCTGTGGATAAGGAAATAGCAGATCTAACTGATTTTATGGTGGCACCTGGTAGCAGCTCTATAATTATGATTATATGATCTTAAAATGGGGTATAAATTCCTGTTGTTCTCTAAAAGTACATGGCTAATCAGTGAAGTTTCATACAGCTTTTTCTGTCCCATGAAGTTTAGTTTGGTTTTGCTTAATATGTTTTTAATAGAAAGGGTTTGAATTTGAGTTGTGGCTGAAACATTTATTTAGCAGGCCTACTTTTTCAGTGTTGACTAATACTCTTAAAATCATTTTTTGTTTACACAAAACTTTGTAGACGTGGATTCTGAGGAGAAATGATGCAATGATCTGTTTGCTAAATATAATTAGTTTAGGGTAATTTTTAGTTTTCTCACGTTATAGCTGAAAGTGTTGTGCACACAGACCTGACTGATGGAGGATTGGCACAAACTAACCTGGATTCAGTAGGGTCCATGGACACATAGGAGGCTTAGGTTTTCATTTCCTTACTTTTTTGTGTTTGTGTCAGGTGTGTGTGTGTGTGTGTGAGATAGAGAGAGAGTGAGTGTGAAGTAAAACTGCCTTACAACAAGGTTTTCTTGTGTATTGATTACACTATATATTAGGGTCATGCTGTGTGTAAATTCATGCATTTTCAATTAGGCATCCTCTAAACAGTTTGTTATTACAGCTTCATCGTTACTAAATACAGACCCACTATTTCAGTCTACTCCTCGTAGAATCAAATCCTACAAGGTGCTGAGTCCTTCTGAGAAGTGATGCACGCTCTCCACTGCCACTGAAAACGATAGGTCTGATTCTCTTCTCACTCAGATTGGTATAAATCAGGAGGAACTTTATGGAAGTCAGTGGAGTTACACCAATGCCAAATGAGTGACAGAGGAGAAGCAAGCCCAGTGGGAGTGGAGGGCACCTAGCATCTTGCAGGATCAGGTCCTTGCTGAATTGACACTGCCGGTTTCAATAAATTGTGAGGCAATTTGGGGATATGCATGGACATCCACTATAATCTAAGGAGAGACCACACATGTTCACTTCATTTGTGATGAGTAAACCTTATTTGGACCCAGACCAGGGTGTTAAAATGTTAATGCATTAGAACACTGTGCCATCTAGCCTTCCCTCTTAGCCAGTGAGAAGATGCAAGTAAGTGATCAATTTAGTTCTGGCACATGTCCATGTAAAACGTAGACTTACTTAACCAAAGTGTGTCAGTGGTACAGTAAAGTCTGCATATTTCCCTCTTGTTGAAAGCTAAGACCAAGGCAGCTGCCTCTAGGCTTGTGAGAACGGGTGAGATCCAACGTGTGCATAATAGTTTCCTATGTCTGTATAATATGGTAGCAGTTGGTTAGAAACCAGAGATACTGATGAGAGAAGAGTCTTTGGAATTGGAAGATCTTGGATGGGCTGTCTTCTCAACTTTGGTTTCTAGCTCTGATTCTAATTGGAAGCAATTAATATTTTTGTAAATTATGTAAATGTTCTAACAAAAATATATATCCATAATATTAAATAATAGATGTAGGTAACAATAAATACATAGACAGAAGTATACAGATTATTGACATTCTGAGTAAAATCCTGAGTAAACTCCTCTATTAAACTAATGGGAGTTCAGTTGTAATGGTATTTAATTGGAATGGAAAAGGGGCTTCATATCCCTTTTTAAATGTTTTTGACGTAGTATTTCTCTGGTTATCTATCTATCTATTGTCTATCTATCTACCCGTCTCTGCTGTTTTGGTACTGAAAGGGTATGTTTTGTGAATGATATAATTTTTAATAATCTGGCTGTTGCTCTCATCTCTTAATCATTATGTCCTGTCTTACAGGTATCATGATACCTTTTAAAACTTATACTTAGCGTGTTTTGCTCTAGATCTACTGGCAGTGTGATATTTTATGTTTTTGTTATAGATAACTATGTGACCCAGTGGGTGCTCCCCTGTAATCTAGCTCATGAGAAGTCTAGGGGCTGCAAGGAATCTTTTTTCTCTTACTGTGTGTATGTGTCCAGGGAGCTGATGGGTCATCAAAACATCTAATTGAGTACAGTAGCTGTTTCATTGCTGTTTTGATTGTATTATTGTTACAGATATTTACAGGGTGGCCATCAGTGTAGTATCAGGGCACACATTATACAAGGTACATAGAGGAAGAGTACACAAATAATTTTCCCTTCCCTTGCACTTCTGTGAAGGGTCCATCTCCCCCAAAGCACCAGGACTGAGGAGTCTAGCTTGGCTGGTGGTATGAAATGTCTATTGGGGTTGTGCATGGATAAGGCTATGTACCTGCTCCCTCTGCACTAGCCAACAGAGCTACATGGACACGGTGATGTGTGCACGCCTCCCTAGTAACAGAATATAGCATGATCCTGCAGCAATCACAGTGTAATAGGGAACAATGTGCAGCCCAGAGCCTGCAAAATTGGGTAATGCCTTAAAGTGACAACCTTGCCCTGTGTGCTGACATCTGATCCCTGCAGGCACAAGGTGCGGGGAAGACTTGTCCTGGCAGAGCAGAGATCCCCCGGCGCTCCCAGCTGGTGAAAGAATGGAGCTGTGAGAGCAGGGCTGCTGAGGACTGCCTGCACTGCCACAGGGTTACTGACACCCAATCTCTGCAGGCCCATGGTGCAGGGGGGAGGTTGCACTCCCTTTGATTGTCACAGAGGGATTATTTTTTTAGTCCATTTCAGTCAGCTGAAATTGACGTTTCCTGATATCTATCAATTTAAATTGAATCCTGCCAAAACTAGCCCTGATCACAGACCAGCAGATTAGATGTGCTGACCCAATAACTTCACAAAATCCTGAGCCTTCACAGAAGCCTAACAAACGAATGTTGCTGAACCATAAGCACGGGGCCCTATGCGCGTAACATCAAACTGGCAAAGTAAAGGTACTTGGCTAGTAATTTTACAAAGGCTTTGAGCTTATCAGTCAACGGGTAAGCTAATAACTTCATAGAGGATTTTAGCTTGCCCACCAAAATAGATTTGCTGAGTGGAAATTTAAAATAACCTTGAATTTACAGTAGTTATAATGTCATTTTATAACAATTGGAGACCAAGGCACATATCTTGGAGTTTTTGGATGAATAAACTGAAGCATAAAACTTTACTGAGACTGCAACAAGACCAAAAGAGTCTAAAACATGAGATGAATATCTTCCTTCACATCCATGTCTGTAAGTGTCACTGAAGTCCATGGGAGACATACAAATGTATTTGAATTGAGAATTCAGTCTATTAGCCATGATTAAATTGAAACATTAAAAAGGTGTTTTAAAACACATGAGCTGGAAAGGAAAATTACATACTAATATACTTCAGGTGGCTGCATATAGGTTGATCTCGAATTAGAAGTTGAATGTAACAAAGAATTAAAAGCACTGCCATGGATTTTGAGCCGGATGTGATAGGTCAGTCTAAAATCCAGATGTCAGTCTGATCTAGAACAATCTGGAGAGAAGAGGGGGAAATGTGAATGAATTTGCTGGTTCCATATGTTTTCTAGCTTTCTGTAGGTGACATATGTTTTTGCTCAGATGCAGATTGTGCCTATATTCTGAACAGCAAAATCATATGTTGCGGTTGTGCAGCAAAGCTTGCTTCGCTTCTTTCTTGTATGGAAGTTTTTGTTTTCTGGGAGAGATACTAACAGCAACTTCTTTGTAGGTGTTCAGCTTTTAATGGAAATGCTCTTTGAGAGATCATCTTCTGGGAATTCAGCAGAAGTCACTGCTTGTGAGCGAGTTCAGCAGAAATCTGCCGTTACTCTGGCACGGCTCAGCCGAGATCCTGAAGTGGCACATGCAGCCATAAAACTCAGCTGTAAGAATTTAATGCTAACCTAGTGGCAGACAGTAAAATATGGAGAGAATGAATTCTAGCTGAGACTAGGGCAGCAGAGGCTTTTGCTGGTTTAGCAAGGAGAGAGGCTCTCTGATATCACTTGTTAATGGTTGCGCTCTACAGACCACGAGGTTTCCTGCACAGTCTGTCCTGACAGTGGATGTGGAGAATGTGCTAAATGAATCTATGGCTAATTTTTCAGTGGAAACTGAGGTGCAGCTTCCTCCTACACATAGCTAGAGATGGAGGGGATGGGGATACAGAGCTTTTACAGTGACTAGCTGTTGCTGTGACACTTGAAGATGCAGAATCTACTCTCTCCTCAACTTAAAACCTCATACATGTGTGACTAGTAGGATCCTCCAGCAAAGAGAGACAGTAGGTACCAGATTTTTCAAATTTAAAAATTGAGGAAAAAACATGTCTGTTTTGGGGAGTTGGGGGATGATGGATAGGAAGGATTTTTTTTTTTAGGTCAGCTCTATTCATTGTAAAAGAGCAGTAGAGGGTAAAAACAATGTATTGTTTATGCTTTGCCGTTATCTAACTGGCAATTTTAAATTGCACAGCTCGTTCTAATGCATGTGTGCAGAGTTCCTTCTATACCTCTTGCATAGCAGTTGTATTCATTCATAATTGTATTAAATGAGACAGATAAAACAAAAGAATCCACCAGGCTGATTTTGGTGTCAAAATGGCAAGTTTTAGATAGCAACAAACCTTGTTTATCTTCATTCTTTTTTACTATTTTAGGTATTCCTCGCCTTATAGAACTCTGCAGATCACCCACTGAAAGAAATAACAGTGATTCTGTTCTAGTGGCTTGTCTGGTAGGTGCACTTAAGCCATCCTTTATCTCTCCTGAAAAATGCAGAAATCCTATTAGTTTCAGTGGGATTTCAGTGTGTGTAAGTAACACAAGTTTGTTGTAAATTACATGTCAGACTCATCCCTTCCTATCTTGGGCCCAGTGCTGAGTACCTTAATTCCCATTAAAATCAAGATTGGCACATAGTGATGGGGTGTACCAGTCCCTTCAAGGCCCTCTGCTCGAGGCCCTGCACTCCTACACACCCTGCCCAGGAAAGGAAAAATGAAGGTGGGTCCTCTAGGGCTGTCTGAAAGGCTGCACTGAAGAAGTCAGAGCCTAACAGGCTCAAATAAAAGGAATCGTAGGGCTTGCACAGGTCAGTTCCTGGCTGGGACCAGAAGGGTGAGGAAGGGCTGTGCTCTGGCCAGAGGAGCTCGATGGACAGACTTACTGTCCCTGGGAATGAGAAGACCTGGAAGATTTGACTAGTGGGTTTGTGTCCTCTTCATCCTCAGTGACGTTACAGTCGTGACCTATTTAATTTCACACTGGGAGTTGGTTGATTCTCATTGTATTTTAAAACTCATCCAATGGCTTCTAACCTCCTCCAGTTTCCTAGATCACTCACAGTCAAACATTGGAATAGGACATGGTGCAAAGACAATCCTTTCTCCTGGCTCTGACTTCCTTTGGATAGAGTTCAAACCTCCATCATAAGTGGAGCTGGTAGCAAAGCCTATAGTTAAGGTTGCCTGACACTTTCCGTCATAAGACCTCTTTTCAGGTGCTTATAACTTAGGCAAAGCTTAACCATTTGAGAGGAGCCTGAAGGGGTGGAAAATTTGTACTGATTGGGCAAAGAGACTGGAACTAGGATGAGGATTCCCAGGGGGTTGAGAGACAGGACTGGCACGGGGGCAGGCTGGAGAGGATGTGGACACACTGGGTCAGGCTTGTGAGGAACAGAAGCAGAAGACTCTGTACGAACTAGAGTACATTTCTTTCCATCACCAGGAATCGAACCCAAGATTCCTGAGTCTGAACCTTCCTCTGCTGTTGACAGATATCCATGAAATCCACAAAGTGTGTCTCGTCCCCCACTAGTGGCTTGTATAAGTAAAGGATGACAACTTGCTACTGCTATCAGTTACTTTATTAGCCAAGTGCCAGAAGTCTGGGCAGTGGATCTAAAGGATTGAACTCTGCTAATGATGCCTCTAGGGGCCGGTATGATTCCACATGATGGAATTTCTGTATTTTCAGTTTGCTTTTTTAAAAACCCAGAAAATCACTCACAAAAAGTATGTTTAAAGAACATTTAAGGTTGCAAAGTCAAGTACTTAAAAGTTAGGAAATGCCAAAATTTAAAGTTGCATGTACAATCTTGAACAGCGCCCTTGTGTGTAGGCATTATGATATGGTTTTTAATTACATGATCATATACTATTTTTTTCTACAAGACCCCTTTTGAGTGCTTACTTGGCAACTTTAACTTTTCTTTAATATAGTTTTTGTGTGTAATAGATATTACTGGACCTCCTCACTGCCATTGATTCTGTAAGGTGCTGCTTACAGGACCTGTCAGGAGAAGGAAATGCCAGCACTATATTAGCTTCATTCATTCCTCTAAGGTATATCAGAATGAATCCTGACAGAGTATTTACATATTGAATGGACAGGGTTCAATACCGTCAGCTCTCTTCTTCGGTAAATATGAAGCCAGAATGTGTACTGTCAAAGTGCAGAATAAGACTCTTGCGCATGGGGGCAGGGCACCTTCAGTGAGATAAACATGACTATGGAATGCCTTAGAGGTCAAGAGCAGACTGAGTTCCAACTAGGCCATGTTCACATCTAAATGCAAGGGCTGGTTCTTCAATAAGGCTTTGTCACACTTCCTGGGGTACCCAGGGTTGTGAGGCACCTTTCTATCACCTGACTGTAGTGTGAGGAAGCCTTGTCTATGCCTGCTGGGGGTCAGCTCCCCAGTTCCACTGGCCACTCTGTCTGTTGGTGATAGACACACTCCAACCCCTGAGCCTGCTGAGTGTCTCTCTGGAGTGCCCTGCCCCTGGTCCACTGGATACTCACAGTAGTCACAGATTGCCTCAGTTTGCCAGTCCACTTAACACACATAATTTAGATATGGTTATAGTGAAAACAAGTAGAAGTTATTAACTAAGGATAGAGATTCAAGTGACAGCAAGTAGAAGTATTGGAAACAAATAGTTACATATAAAACAAAACCATAACATGCATTCTAAAACCTAGACTTAATTAAGTAGGTACTCTTTTCTCATGTAGAGAAATCTCGCCCAAAGTCCTTTGTGTCTTACATCCAAATTGGCTGTGATCCTCCATTCATAAGACAAACATGCTGTTAGCTTACTCCTGAGTCAAGGATCCAGGGTGTACTTCTGAGCACCCCGATATATCACAGTAATCCATTGTATTTACTCGTAAAGAGGATCTCCTCATGCTATTTATTTCATCCTGTAAGTTTCCTCTCTTGAAGATTTCACAATCTCTTGATGAGCATTTGGCTTGCTATGCAAACAGGCATCCAGCGTGAGACGTACAATCAGAGGTGAAAGTAAGCTGGTATGGGCCAGTACGGCATACCGGTAAGAAAGTGGCCACTGGTACGGGCCAGTACACAGCCAACATTGAGCAATGTACCGGCAGGGCCACTGATATGCGGGGCGGGGGGAGACAAAAGGGGCAGCTGCCCCGGGGCCAAGCAATTTAAAAGGGCCTAGGGCTCCTGGCAGCGGGAGTGTCTGTTGCCTCCTGCTTGAAAGGAACCTGTCTGAGACATGTCAACTCCTGGTTACCAGCCTTAAGAACATAATATTCAGTACAGTCTCACAACTCCTTAAATATCTATACATATATTTCATAAAATGATTGATGCCCAGTGGGCTACTGGCTGTCAATAGGGAGGGGAAACAAAGGTACAGAAAGTGAAATGACTTGCCAAAGGTGTCGCAACAGGTCATGCATTAAGGTCATGCATTCAGTCAATGCATTCAAAAGAACAGCTTCATAATCAAATTGAGAGGGAGATTTAACTGGATGAGTGGACAATTCAGTCTAGTACATAGGTCCTATGCTGGCTCTGTGCACAGGGGTCAGTTTCAAGTATTGACCATTATAGTGCTCACCAATATGTTATGGACTCAAAGTGAAGAATTTACTAATCCTTAATTGTACTGTCATTGTTTCTGACAGGCAGCATTACGAAGACTAGCAGTTATGAGTCCTGATGGCCTTGAGGATTCAGATTTCCAGCAGTTGGTAAAGCCTAGACTTGTGGATTCCTTTTTGCTGTGCACAAATATGGAAGAGAGCTTTGTATAAATGACTAAGTGTAGCCTCCAAAGCAATGGAAATAACACATGCAGAATGATGTAGTTCTAACAATATTATTTTTATGATTAATTTATTTTAAAACTAAGGTCTGGTATGTAGAGAAAAAGAAACAGAAAAAGCAATCTTGTATCAGTGGTTTGAGCAAGTAATCAACTCCCCCCCCCCCGTTTTTCTGCAATACTTATGGACATGTCAACAAATCAGAAAATTATGATTATAACTATTGTCATGTTAGATTTGGGGCCAGATTTTTTTCTTGATTACACTGGTGTGATGAGATTGCAGCATGATAACTAGGGAGAATTTCATCCCTTGATTTTAAATGTTATGACATTTTATCACTATTTCTTTGTAATTACAGTACTATTAAGTTGTCCAAAAGATTTATTAGCTTAATGCACTCATTTCACAAAAATTGATTCTTAAAAATGCAAAAATAAACTTGAATACAATAGAAACAGTACCATCTGGGCACAAAATTCCCAAGTCTCCATTGAGGTATGCTGATTTGCTGATATGTTGAAGATCTAGTCCTACTTTTTTTTTTTTATAAACAGAACTGTGGAAATATCTGCACAGGATTAGATACTGAAGGTATGTAAGAAATCAAATAGCCACATTTTCAAGACTGAATTCTGAGATTTTTTGAGAGTTGATTTAGGCTGTTTAAAAAATGTGGTCCTTTACAGAATATATAGTTACAGGTCATTTTTTCCCTATTTTAATTACGTGAAATTAAAAAATCCTGGAAAATGATAGTTTGTAAAAATATGTACAGAAATATACCTGATTCTGTACAAAATGTTTAGATATCCACAAATAACTTAGCATGTCACACAAATCCGTTTTCCTTGCATTCCATAGTTGTACGTGAATTCCCGTAGTGCATAAGCCCCAACATATTTTTAGTGATTCAAGCCAATACTTGTTTGAAAGTATGTGTGCATATTTTTTAAAAAAAACAAGTAAACAGATTATAACTCTGACTGAACCTTGAGTTATTCTGTTTTCCTAGCTTGTCATTTTTCTTTAAAATGTAGGGTGGAATTTTAAAATTCTCTCAAAGTTGGCAGAAGAAAATTCCATTTGTAGATGTTTACATAGAGGGTAGAATTGACTGAAAAATGGGAATTTTTTCATCAAAAATGTTTGAACTTCGAAATTTTTCAGCCAGGATGTCATGGGAGTCTTTTTGCTTCTACATCTCTATAGTAACTCAGGAAGATTTGTGTTTTTGACGTTTTGTGGTTGTTTGTGAATACTGCTCTGAATAATTTGTGGTAGGCAACTATCTGGTGCTAGGACCTCTGCAAAAAAAAAAAAAAAAAAAGGAAAGAGAAACCCTACTTCCTGAATTTACCTCATAGAAGTGTTCTGAGGCTTAATCCATTAATATTTGTTTAGTGTTTTGAGATTTGAATGAACGGCACTGTGCAAGTGCTAAATTGTCATCATCGTCCCAGTTTTGATGAAAGGTGCTTCCACCTTTCATCCTATGTATGACAAAGTCCAGCTCGTTTCCAGATGTGTAGCAGCGCAGAAGAAGTTTATTTGCTGACATCTTCATGGTGATGTCTTAGGTCAACCATGTATTTATCCTGGATGAAGGTTAACATGTTTTTTATAAATATTAGCATGCGTACAGTGACCGCTGCTTTAAGCAACCACTCAAAGTTCAGACAAAAATCAGATGCTTTACAGAGATGCTTTTCTTATATGAGTGGAGATTACTTCTGCTTAGTATACCATGACTTTTTTGAGGCGGTCCTTTAAGACGTGACCGTGCACTGTAAGGATTGGTCTGTTGTAAAGGCTTCATTGTATTATACCAGTGACTTTGGCACTTTCCTCACTAAAAGTAAATACATATTTGAACTGACACATTAAATGGTGAAATCATCATTCCTGGTGTAAACCATTTAACTTGATAGCAACACATAGGATATTAGAGTTTACTACAGGGATCCTATTAAGATGTTATTTATCTTTATAATCCAAAATTGCATATAAAGGGCCAAATTCTGCTCTATCCCATTGTTGTAAATCTCTCTTCTTTGGCTCTAGTTAATGTCAGTTATTCTGTATTTGCATTCGTGTAGTTAAGAGTAAAATTTGTCCCATAAAGTGTTCAAGTCAACAGCTGCATTCAAAATGGATAGGTACAAACTGCATGCCATTGTTCTGCTGAAAAACGTGTCACATCCAAGAGGGGACAGAATTCACTGGTACATGTTATGCCTGTGTAAGGCCACAGGGATGTTTATATAAGCACCAAAAATAGCTATCAATAAAAATTAAAGAAGTTCATTTCTCATGTGCACGGACACCACTTTGCGCTACTTTGTCAGTCTAACATGGGTACACGTGGAATTTACATTGCCAGAATCACATGAAGTAGAACTGTGTGAATAACTGATTTTTTGGTCATCTCTGTGGCTGTTCTGAAAATTTAAAAAAAAATTGGTTTCAGGTTGACTGAAACAAACATTTTCCAAAATTTTTGGTGAATTGAGGAGTTAAAAAAATAAAATTTTGTTTCAGATTGAACAAAAGGTTTTTTACCTAAAAGAAAATATTTGTTTTTAATTTGAGCTTTCTGAAATTTTTTTTCATGAAATTGAATTAAATTTCAAGCAAATTTGTTTTGAATCGAAAAACTGAAACATTTAATTTCAAAGTGTCAAAATGAAAAAAAATTGATTTTTTCTCCCAGATTTTTTGTGTGTGACTGGAATAAGTTGGTGAATTCAAGACAAATTTGTCTACACTGCAATTTTATAGCCCCACAAGTCTGAGCTCTGCAAGCCCAAGTCGGCTGATATGGGCCAGCTGCAGGTATTTTATTGCAATGTAGGCATGCTCCCAGTATCGCACAGGCAGAAGAGTGTTTTGGACTACATCCAACTCTTTGGGAGTGCAACTAGTCAGTAAAAGCTGGTAGAAGGAATAAAGACACTTCAGCGCTGACCTGGGTAGAGGAGAAATAATATTATAGGTGCAGTGGCGAGCCAGGACCCATTTATAGTCGGGCATCGTACAAAGGGAGAAAATTCATGGAAAAGCACAGCCAAACGACCCTTTATATCCGCCACATATTGGATCACAAGTGTCCTATTGAGTCACAGTACAAACGTAGTCAACAGCCCTCAAGATCTTGAACAGCAGAAAACCGGGCTGGGTGGGAAGAGGTGGGGAGGGCGGGGCCTGGGGTGGTGTGGGGTTTTGAGCACACCCTGGTGGCCCAGAGGAAACTGGCGCCTCTGGTTTTTATTAAATTGTGTTCCTTTTTTTTTGGAAACCAAACTCCCAAACATTTGAAGACAAAACAACATGAAAATTGTCATTTTGAATTGGCATTTAGACATAAAATGTGTTTTTTTGTTTTGTATTTTTAGCCAAAAAGAAACAAAATGGCATTTTAATTCTAAATGAAAATTTGTTTAATTTACGAACATTGATTCTAAAAAAATCCCTTTTGTTTTGCCTTTCCATGGGAAAAATCAATGTTTTAAATTGTAGCCGTGTTGGTCTTCTCTCTCTTACCAACAGAAGTTGGTCCAGTAAAAGTTCTCATCCATCTTGTTTCTTAAATAAGAATTGACAGTTTCCAATGAAAAATTTCAGTTTTAATGAAACCATATTTCTTAACAGGAAAATTTTGTGCATCAAAATTGTTACCAGCTCTAAAATATATGTATTAAACCTCATTGAAGTCAAGGAGCTGCAGCGGAGAACATAGGGCAGAATTTAGCTCAGTTACTTTGGAATCTGAAAGCTATGCTTCCTAAAAAAAATTCTCCCTTCATTTGCATTTCTCAGAACTGTTTTTTTAAATTGTATGTTTTTGAAATGTTGGACAAATGGGCAGTGAACTGCAAGCTCCTTTGTAAGTTGTTTAACAGACCTTATGACTTCGGACTATGAACTGAATATTTGTATTGAAAATAATATTTAGTTCAAGTATTTACAGATATTTTGGCTCAGACATTTATTCACAGAATAAAAATTTATACTTCAATGTATTGTGTGTCTATTACATTAAACATTATTTACAGTGAAGGTTACTGGTCTGGTATTATTTGTTTTAAGGAATGACTTTAGGTACAAAGAACAAGACCTATGTTTATAAATCCCCCTACTGACCTATTCTGGGTTTTGTACAGCTAGCAGCTGATTCTAACTCCTCTCCACAACAGTAGAAAGCATAAAAAGACTGTGTATTATAAGGGAAAAATTAGACCACTGGTGATGCATTGGGTTTTTTAATCAGAAACTGTGTCAATGATAAAATGTCTCCAAAAACTTAGAAAAGTGAAAGGAATGGATAAGCTAAGGCAGATGCTCAATAAGAGCATGTTCAATGGTCAGAAACCAGCATACCAAAAGCCTAGTCACCCACTCCCTAATGGCTCAATTTGTGACATATTGAAAAGACAGACATTCTTCAGGACTTGGTTCAAAGAGGAACTCCATTGCCAGCTTGAAATCTTAGGGCGGCTCTATATGGTGTCTGGCTTTGAATTTCTTAGCAAATCTTCACTAACCAAGATGTAATGGATCAGCATGTTGCATGGAAATCCTTTTGAAGTCAAGTTATGAGACCAAGACATCTATAGAAGAGGACTTGTATGACAGGACATAACAGGCCTTCATAGTTCCCTGCTGGAGTCTTCCTACACCCTGCCCTAGGAAAAGTGCAGGGAAGGTGGGTCCTCCAGGCCTGTCTAGAAAGGCTGCACAGAAGCAGCCAATCAGAGCTCCACAGGCGAAGATAAAAGGAGTTGCAGGGCTTTAATAGGTCAGTCCCTACTGGTAATTTTAGTTTTATTTTTTTCGCTGAACTTTTCACTGGAAAATAAAAATTTCCCAACCCTCTATACTTTGGACAGATTGAAGTTTGTATTGGCAGCCATTGCTGAAAAATATTTTAACTATTGGAAAGCGTCTTCTCTTGAGAAAGATCCCAAAGTACTTTACAGACTATGGAGAGCTTCTCTGAAATGCAGCCTATCTTGGGGGTGAAGTAGCCAGTGCACATCAGTGTGTGTGTGTAGTGAGTGTTTCTTCAAGAAACATCTTTATTTTCTTTACTCTTTAGGGTTTCCATCTAATTAAAGACAGACTGAGGAGATGCTGGTAAAGGCATTCATCATCCCAAATAAAGGGAGAAAGAAGCTGAGCAGTTGGCTATAGTTGTGTATGTTGAGAACTGAAGGAATTCACTATCTGAGGTGCATGCACAATGTGTCATTATTAAGTAAATGATGATCAATATTTATAAAACCTGAAATACTTAAGGCAACCAATCAAACCCTACAGACAGGTTGTGTGAAAATTCAAATTTGTCTGTTTCACACTGTAAGCTCTCAAGAACAAGGGCTGTCTCTTGCTGTGTTTGTACAGTACCTAGCACACTGAGACCCTAATGTTTGTGACCTCTCAGGGCTCCTGTAGTAAAAGGAATGTTAATAATTATAACAGTTCCTGTGAAAATATCAGCATTTTCTTTCTCTTTGATATTACATTATATAGTTCCTGAAAATGTTCTTGCAACCTTTAGCATACCTTGTGTGCATGTATGGTGAATGCTGACTAATTTTACATGGTTTTATCTTAGACTACTGCCTATTTTGTTGTGGTATATTTTCAATAGCAGTATTCATGAAGTAAGAATAATTGAACTTAGTGTACTCCATAAATAAATTTCTTGTATTCTAGCTTATTAGAGAGCCTGTATTATTAGACAATACTTCTGTTGCTTCTTATCTTGTTCCTTTGCTTATTTCCCTCATATTTTCCTTTGACCCTCTTGCTGTGATGATTTTGTAACGGGCTTGTTAAATTGTATCATCTGGTGCCTTTTCTTTTTGCACATAAATACAAGAAAATATAACGGACTTTTTTCCTTTTCTGTAACAATTTTTTGTAGAAACCTATTAAATTCTGTACAGGTGATACAGCCTAAAGATTGCCCTTTATTAAATGGCTCCTGAAGCCCTACATAAGTCTATGCCCTACATAAGTCCCACTTAAGCTTTCAGAACAGAGTGGGACTAACCTGGTCCACAGGCTTATGCTGGGCCAGGACACAGGGATGAATTGTATCCATGATTACATTATAGCACCTTTAAGGAGACTTAGTGGAAGCTAGAAAATCAGGATTACTGGATAATACTCCATAAATGTCTTGTCTTTCTAACTGGTGTGGCTCTCTTTCACTTCATCATATCTAATTAGAAGAGAAACATTTGTCTCACCTTAGCTAACCAGACTTAGTTTGATACATAAATGTCCTTTTTCTTCCTTACCTGATTGTTCTTGCTGTTGTCAATCAGTAATTGTGAATGATCGGTGAAGTGTTCAATGGTCCATAAACTTATGGAACATTAGCTGTGTGTTACATATTAACTGTGAAGCCAGAACATTTTTTCAACTCTCTATGACTGCAGTACAAGAGACATGAAATGTTAATACACTATGAATTCTTGATGACTAAGGGAGGGGAGAGGATCACCAATGTAAAGGGAGTTAGAGTTCCTGCTGTGTGAATGAAAAGCCCCTTTACCAATTTTTGGTGACTCAGTATTTTACTGTATATTTGTCAAGCAGTGAATATGAAGAGTTCCCCATTCAATGATGATCTGTTTAGGTTGTAAACTCATAGGGGCAGGAATATTTGTTTGTTTGTTCTGTGTTTAGTCAAAGACCAAAGCCAACTGAGATCCTGGTCTATGACTAAGGGTATGTCTACACTACGAAATTGCATCAAATTTATAGAAGTCGGTTTTTTAGAAATCGGTTTTATATATTCGAGTGTGTGTGTCCCCACAGAAAATGCTTTAAGTGCATTAAGTGAATTAACTCGGCGGAGCGCTTCCACAGTACCGAGGGTAGAGTCGACTTCCGGAGTGTTGCACTGTGGGTAGCTATCCCACAGTTCCCGCAGTCTCCGCTGCCCATTGGAATTCTGGGTTGAGATCCCAGTGCCTGATGGGGCTAAAACATTGTCGCGGGTGGTTCTGGGTACATATTGTCAGGCCACCATTCCCTCCCTCCCTCCATGAAAACAAGGGCAGACAATCGTTTTGCGCCTTTTTTCCTGAGTTACCTGTGCAGACGCCATACCAAGGCAAGCATGGAGCCCACTCAGGTAACCGTCACCGTATGTCTCCTGGGTGCTGGCAGACGCGGTACTGCATTGCTACACAGTAGCAGCAACCCATTGCCTTGTGGCAGCAGACGGTGCAATAGGACTGGTAGCCGTCATCGTCATGTCCGAGGTGCTCCTGGCCACGTTGGCCAGGAGCGCCTGTGCAGACATGGGCTCAGGGACTAAATTTGGAGTGACTTGATCAAGTCATTCTCTTTAGTCCTGCAGTCAGTCCTATTGAACCGTCTTATGGTGAGCAGGCAGGCGATATGGATTGCTAGCAGTCAGATTGTACCATCTTCTGCCAGGCAAGCAAGAGATGAGGATGGCTAGCGTCATATTGTACCATCTTCTGCCGAGCAGCCTTGAGATGTGAATGGCATGCAGTCCTTCTGCACTGTCTGCTGCCAGCCAAAGATGTAAAAGATAGATGAAGTGGATCAAAACAAGAAATAGACCAGATTTGATTTGTACTCATTTGCTTCCCCCCCCCCATCTAGGGGACTCATTCCTCTAGGTCACACTGCAGTCACTCACAGAGAAGGTGCAGCAAGGTAAATCTAGCCATGTATCAATCAGAGGCCAGACTAACCTCCTTGTTCCAATAAGAACAATAACTTAGGTTCACCATTTCTTATTGGAACCCTCCGTGAAGTCCTGCCTGAAATACTCCTTGATGTAAAGCCACCCCCTTTGTTGATTTTAGCTCCCTGAAGCCAACCCTGTAAGCTGTGTCGTCAGTTGCCCCTCCCTCCATCAGAGCAACGGCAGACAATCGTTCCGCGCCTTTTTTCTGAGCGGACGCCATACCAAGGCAAGCATGGAGGCCGCTCAGCTCACTTTGGCAATTAGGAGCACATTAAACACCACACGCATTATCCAACAGTATATGCAGCACCAGAACCTGGCAGAGTGATACCGGGCGAGTAGGCGACGTCAGCGCGGTCGCGTGAGTGATCAGGACATACACAGATTTCTCTGAAAGCATGGGCCCTGCCAATGCATGCATCATGGTGCTAATGTGACAGGTTCATGCCGTGGAATGCCGATTCTGGGTTCGGGAAACAAGCACAGACTGGTGGGACCGCAGAGTATTGCAGGTCTGAGATTTCCAGTGGCTGCGAAACTTTTGCATGCGTAAGGGCACTTTCATGGAACTTTGTGACTTGCTTTCCCCTGTCCTGAAGCGCATGAATACCAAGATGAGAGCAGCCCTCACAGTTGAGAAGCGAGTGGCAATAGTCCTGTGGAAGCTTGCAATGCCAGACAGCTACCAGTCAGTTGGGAATCAATTTGGAGTAGGCAAATCTACTGTGGGGGCTGCTGTGATGCAAGTAGCCCACACAATCAAAGATCTGCTGATATCAAGGGTAGTGACCCTCGGAAATGTGCAGGTCATAGTGGATGGCTTTGCTGCAATGTGATTCCCTAACTGTGGTGGGGCCATAGACGGAACCCATATCCCTATCTTGGCACTGGAGCACCAAGCCGGCGAGTACATAAACCGCAAGGAGTACTTTTCGATAGTGCTGCAAGCTCTGGTGGATCACAAGGGACGTTTCACCAACATCAACGTGGGATGGCTGGGAAAGGTACATGACGCTCGCATCTTCAGGAACTCTGGTCTGTTTCAAAAGCTGCAGGAAGGGACTTTATTCCCAGATCAGAAAATAACCGTTGGGGATGTTGAAATGCCTATAGTTATCCTTGTGGACCCAGCCTTCCTCTTAATGCCATGGCTCATGAAGCCGTACATAGGCAGCCTGGACAGTAGTCAGGAGCTGTTCAACTACAGGCTAAGCAAGTGCAGAATGGTGGTAGAATGTGCATTTGGACGTTTAAAGGCGTGCTGGCGCAGTTTACTGACTTGGTTAGACCTCAGCAAAACCAATATTCCCACTGTTATTACCGCTTGCTGTGTGCTCCACAATATCTGTGAGAGTAAGGGGGAGACGTTTATGGCGGGGTGGGAGGTTGAGGCAAATCGCCTGGCTGCTGGTTACGCGCAGCCAGACACCAGGGCGGTTAGAAGAGCACAGGAGGGCGCGGTACGCATCAGAGAAGCTTTGAAAACCAGTTTCATGACTGGCCAGGCTACGGTGTGAAAGTTCTCTTTGTTTCTCCTTGATGAAACCCCCCACCCCTTGCTTCACTCTACTTCCCTGTAAGCTAACCACCCTCCCCTCCTCCCTTCGATCACCACTTGCAGAGGCAATAAAGTCATTGTTGCTTCACATTCATGCATTCTTTATTCATTCATCACACAAATAGGGGGATGACTACCAAGGTAGCCCAGGAGGGGAGGTGGAGGAGGGAAGGAAAATGCCACACAGCACTTTAAAAGTTTACAACTTTAAAATTTATTGAATGCCAGCCTTCTTTTTTTTGGGCAATCCTCTGTGGTGGAGTGGCTGGTGGCTGGTGGCCCACCCACCACGTTCTTGAGCATCTGGGTGTGGAGGCTATGGAACTTGGGGAGGAGGGCAGTTGGTTACACAGGGGCTGTAGAGGCAGTCTGTGCTCCAGCTGCCTTTGCTGCAGCTCAACCATACACTGGAGCATACTGGTTTGGTCCTCCAGCAGCCTCAGCATTGAATCCTGCCTCCTCTCATCACGCTGCTGCCACATTTGAGCTTCAGCCCTGTCTTCAGCCCGCCAACTCTCTTCCCGGTCATTTTGTGCTTTCCTGCACTCTGACATTATTTGCCTCCATGCATTCGTCTGTGCTCTGTCAGTGTGGGAGGACAGCATGAGCTCAGAGAACATTTCATCACGAGTGCCTTTTTTTTTCTTTCTAATCTTCACTAGCCTCTGGGAAGGAGAAGATCCTGTGATCATTGAAACACATGCAGCTGGTGGAGAAAAAAAAAGGACAGCGGTATTTAAAAAGACACATTTTATAAAACAGTGGCTACAGTCTTTCAGAGTAACCCTTGCTGTTAACATTACATACATAGCACATGTGCTTTCGTTACAAGGTCGCATTTTGCCTCCCCCCACCGCGTGGCTACCCACTCAACTCTCGCCCCTCCCCGTCGCTAACAGCGGGGAACATTTCTGTTCAGCCGCAGGCAAACAGCGCACCAGGAACGGGCTCCTCTGAGTGTCCCCTGAAGAAAAGCACCCTATTTCAACCAGGTGACCATGAATGATATCTCACTCTCCTGAGGATAACACAGAGAGATAAAGAATGGATGTTGTTTGAATGCCAGCAAACATACACTGCAATGCTTTGTTGTACAATGATTCCTGAGTACGTGTTACTGGCTGGAGTGGTAAAGTGTCCTACCATGGTGGACGGAATAAGGCTGCCCTCCCCAGAAACCTTTTGCAAAGGCTTTGGGAGTACATCCAGGAGAGCCGCGAATGCCAGGGCAAATTAATCCTTTCACATGCTTGCTTTTAAACCATGAATAGTATTTTAAAAGGTACACTCACCAGAGGTCCCTTCTCCGCCTGCCGGGTCCAGGAGGCAGCCTTGGGTGGGATCGGGGGGTACTGGCTCCAGGTCCAGGGTGAGAAACAGTTCCTGGCTGTCGGGAAAAGTGGTTTCTCCACTTGCTTGCTGTGAGCTATCTACAACCTCATCATCATCTTCTTCTTCGTCCCCAAAACCTGCTTCCATGTTGCCTCCATCACCATTGAAGGAGTCAAACAACATGGCTGGGGTAGTGGTGGCTGAACCCCCTAAAATGGCATGCAGCTCATCATAGAAGCGGCATATTTGGGGCTCTGACCCGGAGCGGCCGTTCGCCTCTCTGGTTTTCTGGTAGGCTTGCCTCAGCTCCTTAAGTTTCGCGTGGCACTGCTTTGGATCCCTGTTATGGCTTCTGTCCTTCATGCCCTGGGAGATTTTGACAAAGGTTTTGGCATTTCGAAAACTGGAACGGAGTTCTGATAGCACGGATTCCTCTCCCCATACAGTGATCAGATCCCGTACCTCCCGTTTGGTCCATGCTGGAGCTCTTTTGCGATTCTGGGACTCCATCATGGTCACCCCTGCCGATGAGCTCTGCATGGTCACCTGCAGCTTGCCATGCTGGCCAAACAGGAAATGAGATTCAAAAGTTCGCAGTTCTTTTCCTGTCTACCTGGCCAGTGCATCTGAGTTGAGAGTGCTGTCCAGAGCGGTCACAATGGAGGACTCTGGGATAGCTCCCGGAGGCCAATACCGTCGAATTGTGTCCACAGTACCCCAAATTCGACCCGGCAAGGCCGATTTAAGCACAAATCTACTTGTCGGGTGGAGTAAGGAAATCGATTTTAAGAGCCCTTTAAGTCGAAATAAAGGGCTTCATCGTGTGGACGGGTGCAGGTTTACATCGATTTAATGCTGCTAAATTCGACCTAAAGTCCTAGTGTAGACCAGGGCTAAGGCTCCTAGGCACTACAATACTATTACTACTACTAATTTATGATAATAGGGGAAGAGAGATGGAGACCCTCAGAATCCACCGAAGGTGGGAATGAGAGAAGAGTAATAGGCCCATGTAGTAGGTCCATGTCTAGTAGGATCCTAGAGCACGGAGTGTGGGCATCATCCTTGATGCTGAGGCCTGCAGAAGTCTGTCAGAGAAGAGTGATTGTTACTCAAATATTGTTACTAGAACTGGTACAAACAAAAATTACTTTTGCAAAATAAATTGAAATGTAAAAGTTGCTTTCCTTTCGAAGGGTTCTATAGTGATACGTCTTTTATTTTTTCTTGAAAAACCTTTTTGAGGATTTTGTCACTTAATTCCACTCCACTGCCCCTCAAAAGTACCAAACACATTACTGAAATTGTTATTCAATTTCTAAGTTTACCAAAACTGAGTTTTGATAAGATTTTTGGATCACTTTTTGGAAAAAACTTTGTTTTAAAGGCACAACATTTTTTCACAAATTGAAAAATTGTCACCATTGTTGAAATTTTTCAAGATAAAGTGGTTTTCAAAAAGATAATTTTTTTCAGAGAAACATTTTGTTTGGCATATTTCAACCAGTTCTACTTATTGCCATACAAAAGCCATTTTAATATAGCTGTAAATTATAATTTAAAATATTAAAATAAACTCAGATCATAACTCTTATTTAATAATGCTGAATATAAAACAGATAGGCTTAGGGATAATCAAGACAGAGAAGTTTATTTAGCAAAAGCAGCTTAACATTATTTGATCATTAGCTTGCTTTATAACATCTTGCAGCATACAAATGAATAACACTGACACTTCGCCTATTGGCATGAATGGATAAGTTATGTATTTTAACGATAGTTCTGAAGCTGCATTTTCAAATGTATTGTACTTATTTTTTATGGCTGAATTTCTAATATTTGCCTGGAACTAGAAAAGAGAAAATTGATAAAGGCAAATAAAACTTTTTGAAGTATAAAATATTTCTGCTAATAAATTCAGCTACAGCAATCAACTCATTTTAGGGCCTAGTGATTCTTCACTAGAGGAAGAAACAAATCCATGACAACTGTCCTCCTGGAGCCCCACTTTCAGAAACCCCTCTTCACTATTCTGTGAATCTCGGAAGCCCCAGTGATGAGGTCAGCAGAGATTAAAAGATTTTTCTCTCACTTCAGATTGTTGCCACACTGTAACTTGGCATTTTCTTATTAATTATGTTCCATGACGTTCCAAAAGAGTTATTTGTGCTTTAAATCCAGTATCCAGACTCCAAGGTGTCAATTATCAAGGCAAAGTTCTGTCATGCTTTTTGACTCATAATAAAGTTAACAGAAGTCCTGTCTTTTTAATTTAGAGCAGTCATGTTGTTGTGCTCTCTACAAACCAAAGGTCTGTTTTTATGCTGTGGCCAAGTGCCAGAGTACGTACGGAATGAAAGCAAGTGGTTAAGTCTCACCTAAAGAGATTTGTCTTGTTGAATATCCAATCAAGCATGCTTCACTTGGGATGATCTTTGACTCTTAATGTGTTTGCTTGGTGACTGTCTTCCTTCATATATCCCGTGGACTTTTTAAGTTTCTCCAAAAACTTCTTGAGAGCAGCCTTCTCCCTATCCACATCAGCACAGCGGAGAGCTGCAGCCCTCTGAATAATTTTGATTTTATCAGCACTCCTCTTCTCTTCCCCACGATTTGCAACTCTTGCCCACTGAAGAGCCATTGTGTCTTCAACCTTTTTTAGCGGCATCTTCTTTACCTTTAGCTTATTCATGCTGAACTCTTTTTTAAAATCCACAAAACAACAATCAAGCTAGCCACAAAATCAATACTTTTCCTCTTCTAGGTAAAGTGAGTTATTAACTTTCTTTGAGCGTTATTGCAGCTTCTTTCTTGGAAGGCTTAAGGTTAATAATTAACCAGTTTTCTCAGAGCAGGTTGTTCTCATTGTTCTCCTGTTGTGCCATCCTTTTAGCTGATTTAATAAACCACCTGATAGGTTTTTACTTGAACTGCTTTAATTTCAAGCCTAAATTTCTGAAAATAATTTGTAATTTGAAGAAATTGAAATTTGAAGGGCTTTTCTTTTTTTAAATTAAAAAGCACTAAAAGCAATTGCATTACGGTCATCTCCGTTTCACATTTTTATTTTAAGATTGTTCTTTTTTGTAATGAAGATAGTGTAGCTATTGTTCAACCTGCTGTTAACTGTGGCTGTTGTATTATGAATATCAGTGACAGTATTGTTATGAGCTGGGTTAAGCCTTGGTATGGGTTGAGTTGAAACCTCATTGAAACTGATGTGTGACTGCACCTTTCACTTAACATTGCTGTAAGAAACTGTTAAGGGGCTACTCCTAAAACAAGGCATAATGGAGTCTGCCCAGAAACTAGTACCACGTAGGTGGAGGGTTCAGCTGAGTATTGTTCTGGCCAGCATGGTAGGTACGCCTGCATGTGTGTGAAAAAGGCAATCTGGGGCTGCAGACAAGACGCACAGAGAGCAGAGAGAGAAAATGAAGCAGCAGGCTGTGAAGCACAGTGTGACCTTGGGAGAAGCCTAAAGAAAGATGCCGAGTCAGAGGTGCTGGCTGAAAGAAGCTTGGGCCTCAGGAGCTAAGAAATTGCTCCATTTGTTTTCCAGTGTTCACAGAAGCAGGACTTTGTATATTCCTTGTAAACAAACAAGATTGCACCAAACAAAAAATGCCAGGCACCACTCTCAATTTCTACTTCCAATCACAACATCTCTAGTGCCCCAAATTTTGAGTAGCTGCTCATGTTTAAAAAGGGGTAATAATATATTCTTCTGTAAGCCCTTTGCGATTTCAGAGAGAGATTAAACCACAATTTTTCTAAAAGCTAGATGGTGGTTTTAACCCCCTCCAATGAAACAACCAAACAAAAACCTTCCAAAAAAAATTTCTGGTTAGGAATGCAGCAGAAACTCTGGACACTGGTTAAAATTATTCCAAGAGCCAACTTTTGATATGTTTTATAACATTCTGAGGTAGAGCTTTAGTGCTCTGAATTAGAGAAGGACAAAACCATCTGGATGAAATAATAGGTGTAACCCTTCATCCAGATTCACAACGGAATCTTTTAAAAGTTTTAAAAAGGTTTAGTAAATCTATTATTATTCATTGTAATGCACCCAGAAGCAGAAATGATGAAATACAACCAGAAGAACCACTGCTCTTATATTTGTGGCCTAGTGAGACACTGGTAATATAGGAAATCTCAACCCCCCCTGTTTGTTGTTCTGAGATTTCTTTAGGAATGAATTTTCTCTGAAATATGCTTGTCAGGTGAAATATAGCTGTGAGAATAATATCAACAAACTGTGAAATTCATATCTGGGCAGAGAGTCTCCACAAGAATTCTCCCTTAAATTCTCTCAATAGAGAGGTTTAAGTGCAGGGCTCATGTTGTACAAGTCCTTGGCACAGAGGTGGATTTTACAGACAATTTACTGACATTATTTTCTCATCTATATGGATTTAGGTCGTGGTTTTTTTTTTAAGGGAATAGGGAATAATAATTTTCTGTCTCAATTTGACATGTAAAACACATAAATGGTGAAAAGTAATTCAGTAGTACAATGAAAAATGTTACAGCTGGCAGAGATAGAGGACCAAAATGAGTGTAAATAGGTGGAACTCCATTGATGATGTAGCCCCTTTAGCTGTAGAACCTGATAATGGCTAGAGCTTGTGTCTGAACCTGATCCAATGCCCATTGAAGTCACTAGACTCCCATTGACTTTAATGGGTATTGGAAGAGATCCTTGGTGTGCAAGGGAAGTGAGGGTAAAATCTATACAGGCTGCATGCAGCTGGCCAGAATCATAGTCTCAGCACTCTCTTTTCTAGCTCTCCAGAAGGCTACCCATCACAAATGGGATAAGAAAAAGACACCAGCACGATATGCCCTAATCGTTGGAATTGGCAAACCACAAAAAGGTCTGTTTGTGGCACCCCTTAACAGAATATACCAGTGTGTGTGTGCTCTCCCTGCACTTCTTGTAACATAACAATTGTAACACAATAGTAGAATCAAAATCTGAATTTGTAGAGCTTTTTGTAACATCTCGTTCAGGCAATTATTTTCAGGAAAAGGAATTGACATATTGGAATAGGTCTTCAGCTGGTGTAAACTGTCTTACTTCTGGCCCATTCTGTACTGTATGTCTTAGAATATAAAGATACAACAAAGCTGAACAGAAAATCTCAAAGGGCAAAAGCTCAATTTTGTCATTTGTTTTTGTAGTATGCGTGTTCTTGTTCTTGTTCTATTTAGTCTCATCAAACCTCTTTCAGCCTTATTTTAGAACCAATAATTTTTTGAATTCTGTATTCTTGGAAAAAATCACAAAAGTTGAACTGTAAGGTTTATAAAATAATAGTTTTGCGTTAGTGATATCATTATGTCTTTGCAATTTTTTCCCTTTTCAAACTCCTAACCCCACATTTAGATCACATTAGTGACAGGAAAAGGAGTACTTGTGGCACCTTAGAGACTAACCAATTTATTTGAGCATAAGCTTTCAAAGTGAGCTGTAGCTCACGAAAGCTTATGCTCAGATAAATTGGTTAGTCTCTAAGGTGCCACAAGTACTCCTTTTCTTTTTGCGAATACAGACTAACACAGCTGTTACTCTGAAACCTGTCATTAGTGACAGGATTTCTATAAGGTTGCTCATTCACTACTGCAAATCAAGAAACCAAAGCAACACAAGGCTCTGAGCATTCTCACTGTATGATACAATGCAACCAGCTTTTTAAAAGCTTCTGATAGATTTACTTAAGCACTTGCTGGGGAAGGTGTGCTGACATCTACTGGAAATTTAAAACACTTCATTATGCATTTCCACGTCTGCTAGCGGGATGTATTTGGTTTGGGACTAGAGCCAGATATATGATGCAAAAATGCTTCACTGATACTTGTGCAAATTTTTAAACAAATCTGCTTCCAACATTTTTTGGGTTATGTTGGTATCATTTTCTGTGCAAACTCCAAAAGTAAGTTTTTAATACTGTGAATACTGGCAGAAAATAAACAGTAAACTCTCATAATAGACTACTCTCACCAAAAGTGAAATTTAAATTTGCTTTCTGACTATTTGCATCCCAAAGCTCATTGAACGAGTTATGTTTACCTGACTGGGGAACAGAAGTGATTTATGGGGCCAATCTCAATTGAGCAACAACGCTTGGCCTTTGAATAGCAACCCTTAGTTAAAAGAAAATTTGTAAATAATTCACTGAGTAATTTTGGATAATGAATGACTGAATCTGAGAGAATTGCAATCTGTTCATCAATATTCCTTGAAAAGATAGAGGTGAAACTTATGCATCATGAAATGTATTAAGTGACCATGATTTGCTCCACTTAAAACCATATTCTAACCTTAATCTCATATTTTGGGACTAGATTGTGACACGGACTATGTATCATGGAAGGGAGTAAGACCTCCTGTTATATCCTCACGTGGAATTCTTGAACCTTGGGTTCGGGTGCGCAGGAATCAGAGGGTTGCATGTCTGCTTAATGCCTCCCTGGAGCAGTTGGGTGGGGAAGGTGCAGGGTGGGGCCACAGAATGTGGGAGGACTATGCCCCCTCACCCACCCATCCACAGTAGCTGGCCAGCATGAATCAGTGTGAGGGGTGTTTGTCACTTGCTGCGGAGGTAGGCCATCAACAAATAATTCCCTATAGAGCAAGGAAGAATTGTGCCTCAGAGGTGCATCTGAATCACCATTGCCATTTATACACCACCTTTGCCTTGGGGCTGTGCCTAAAGGCACTAAGTATCTTATAATTTTCCATAACTTACATGACTGGGTTGTATAAAATGGTTGTCACACAATTAACAGTAATGAGGCAGGGCTGTGTGTTCACTTAACTACATGCTGTGTTTAATATCATTCCATGGGCTCTAAGTGAATATCTCTTTCACCTGGCACTCCCACACCTATTAAATGTCCAGTCTGAACAGATAGAACTGCATGATTTAGAACATAAGAACAGCCATCCTGGGTCAGACCGATGGTCCATCTAGCCCAATATCCTGTCTTCCAACAGTGGCTGGTGTCAGATGCTTCAGAGAAATGAACGGAACCAGACAATTATTGAGTGATCCACTCCCTGTGGTCCAGTCCCAGCTTCTGGCAGTTTAGGGACACCCAGTGCATGGGTTTGTGCCCCTACCATCTTGGCTAATACCCGTTGCTGGGCCTATCCTCCATGAACTTATCTAATTCTTTTTTGAACCTGATTATACTTTTGGCCTTCACAACAACCTCTGGCAATGAGTTCCACAGATTGACTGTGCGTTGTGCCAAGAAATACTTCCTTACATTTGTTTTAAACCAGCTGCATATTAATTTTGTTGGGTGACCCCTGGTTCTTTGGGAATTTTATTAGATGAATACCCAGCATTTTGACTCTCAATTATCCAGCCAAACGCCACGGCAGCCCGGAACGTATGTATTTATTAG